CTCCCCCCTCCCTAATACACACACACACTGTCACTTTAATCAGTCTAACAGTCTAAATTGCACTACAAATCATTATATCTGCACTGTTGTCTACTTCACTGGTTTGCACTCTATCTGCAATGTGCCTTTGTGCCTTCTATATATATATATTTTAAATTTTACCTTATTTGTATATTTGTATAGTTGTATTTTATATTTTATATTTAATCTGTATATCTGTATTTATGTTCTACTGTTAATGTTATCTGTATGCACCAAGGGTCTGAGAGTAACGCAATTTCAATTCTCTGTATGTATGTGCTGTACATGTGGAAGAATTGACAATAAAGCAGACTTGACTTGACTTGACTTGACTAATAAAATTACTAAAACTTAAACTAAAATTAAAACAAAAATAAAACCTAACCCAAAATAATATTAATACTTATTATAATATTATATAAATAATACTAAAATAACAATAATTTAAGTTATTTACAGATAATTTGGCATCAGATTACAGACACAAGCAATTCTGCACTCATCCCCTAGCGATGCTCTAGGAGCATTTTTCAGTATGTGCAGAGGTCATCAGAAGGTCACACAACATGACCAGATATCTGTAAAAAACAGGCTTTGGTGTTGTACTTATAATCTATTATGGCTTAGCCAGGTGTGTTGTGTTTGTGGGATAGAGGTGTCTCTGTACAGTGGTTTTGCTCTGCTTTCAAGGCTGGAAGAGAGGGAGGTTTTGATATTCAAACTCTCTGTGATTAAACCAATGTTTGAGAGAAATAAAAGCCTCTTTCAGGCAGCTTAAAGCCTCTTAATCACAGAATTACCATTTCAATAGTAGCAGCCGTGATTGATACGCATCATTATTGGTAATGAGCATAAATCTGCTTTGAACTCAAAACCTCTATTCTGCTCATCCAAACAGGAAAAGGGGAGAGGATCAGTCATGCCGGCTGAGATGTAGGAAGGAATGAAAAGTGAGGAGTCATAAAAAAGAGAGCAAGTGACGCTTGGTGCCTCAGTGGCTTGGAGCAGCTTCATGTGGCCCAATTTGTCATCCTGCTCCTTGTTATAATATGACTCATATTCTCTTTTTTTCCGCAGCGGAGAATATATCAGTGGAGGCCGGATGTGAGGGATATATATCAGGGTGTGTGAGCGTCTCTGAAGAGCAGAAGCACGCTCACACAGCAGTCCACAAGCTGGCAGCGCATGTGCAGTGGGGAGAGGAGCTGGTGTTCGCTCTTCCCATGGAGGGCACAGAAGACACAGACAGTCTAGATGGAGAGGTGGCCCTCTCACTTCACTGCTGTGATCGATTCTCCCATAATTCCACTCTGGGCACGATGCGCTTTAAGCTGGCTGATATAAGCATGATGTTAGATGCTGATTGCTGGGTTGATTTACAGCCACCCAAACAGGTGAGGAACAATGCATAATACATCCACGACTGCAACATTCAGCACTTTTCATTTCAGCTGAGTGACACAGTTAATACCAACTTTGTCAGCTGGTCATTATCACAAAATAAACTTCATCAGTGTGGTATTTGATGATCCTCATCATTATTCCTTTTGGTGTTTACTGTGTGCTAATAAAATTCTAAAATGTAAATAAATACATGGATATGAAATACTGATTTGAGCGAAAAAATATTTTGTTGTTAAATATAATTTATATTCTCAAAACAAACACTTCATGTGGGTTTAAAATCTTACATTGTTGCATTTAAATCCTAGGATACCTATTTGAGGTATGCCGATTTTGTTACATATGAAATCTCTCAAACTCAATTAAATATGTATTTTAAATAAAAAATTGAACTCTTAATAGTGCACAAATTTTCAGCCTTCAGAATACAAATATGCAAACATTTGATGATTTATTGGTATTTAAAGTTTTATAAACTGCTGCAAAATAGAGAGACAGCACATGCCATCACAAATGAATAATGACACAAATATACACCCACTGATTGCCATTTGACCAATCAGAATAAAGTGTTCCAGTAAGCCATGTAATAAATAGGAATTTAACTTAGTAGATAATAAAACCACTTTGGTGTGGACAATGCCTATGAATGTACTAGTAGATGTAGTGAAATATATCAATGGACTGTTCAAGGGAAATTTATACAGTTTGAACTATACATTTATTGGACTTTAAACAGTGTTCAGCCTGACCAAGACCCCATGTGCATGAGTATGACCTTTAAACATGTATTTCTAGGTTAGAGAGATGGAAAAGTCAGTCAGTGAATCATGCTGGTGTTTTGTGTTGGATTGTTACTGATGCACCCATGCATGCACACATGTTGGTTTTTATGTTTTATGGGGACTCTCCATATAGGCGTAATGTGATAATAATTATAATTATAACCAAAGTTAAAATGCATTATAATATTTTAAGGTTTGTTTGTCATGTGTTTAATGAATTTTCCTTTCTAAAGGTGTAGCAGTGCTACAATGTATTGTTCCTGTGATTACAATTATCCATGACATCATACAATGTGTTATAAGGTGCATTACAAGGCATTATTCATGCATTGAAACTACATTTATAATGTATTATCTATAAAAGGCTTTAAGCAAAGTGCTACCAAACATTTTTAGTACATTTTTAACGCTATTTTAATTATGATGACTCAGATGTTTGGTAACAATATTACATAATATAAAAATACAATATATAAAAAGTAACAATATTACAATATTAGTACAGCAGTAGAGGTAATAGTCTTCTGACACACACTTTATTATGACTTTATTATGGGATGCTGACCGTGTATTTATGTGTTTCTCAGTCTCCACAAGTGCAAAGTGCACATATTGACAGTTTAGAAATAGCTCAGACAATTCTTTTGGACATCCACATATGTGAGGGTCATTACTCATAAGAGGTGGTAGGAGAACGGATCTGATACTTTATTTTAAGATATTGTACTCCCTCTAAACCTTGTTTGCTTCGAATCAATCTCTTGGGTCCCAAACCGTACATGTATACACACACACACACACGCATGCAATCCACCCCCAGTGCTGTGTGATCTGTTGATGATGTCATAAACCTAGAGCAGAAGATCTTTATCTGCGTCATCACACCTCCCAGAAGAGATCCGGTTCTAACAGACATGCCAGGAATTACTAACTACCACTGGACAGCAGAGAGAGAGAGAGAGAGAGGGGGGGGGGGGGGAGGGGGGGGGGGGGGG